CCAACCCCCTGGCACGCGCCGCCAATTTGGGCCTCTGGAAGCCACGGCGGGGCCACCTTGAGCAATCTTGGTACCTCTGCGGGCCTTCTGGAAGGACATCGTTGGGGAAACCAGATTGTGCCGATACCGCTACTCCCCGGACCTCTCCTGGTGTGCGTTCTGACCAGGATTCCGAGGCGAATCCAGCGGTGGCGACGAGGGCCTCCCAGGAGGCCGAAAAAGGGGGAACAACGAGGGAAGGGTAGCGTTATGGGTACATCCTTCTCCTCCGTATCGCGGGGACATCCTTCGGGCCTCTGGAGGCCACGGCGGGGCCACCTTGAGCAATGTTGGCGCCGCTGCGGGCCTAATGGAAAGACATTCCGCGGGCAGAGGCAGGCGACGGGTAAAGGCTTTGAGCGCGAACATCTGTTCCATGAGCTCGTGGCCCACCCTAGGGGCCATCTTAAGCCATGTTGGTCCCTTGATGCCTTCTTCGAAGCATTTGGGAGTCTTCCTGAAGGTCAGTCGGGCCCTCTTGGCCCTCTGGTGGCGTTGCGTCCCGACGGGCATCCCGCAACCTTTGAGCGCCGAGGGACATCGATTCTCATTCGTTGTTTTTGACTTGTTTTGGGAGTCGGAGGCCTGTGCTCCACCGCAGTAGGCAGCAGCAGCCATACCAGACAAATAACAATAAGATGCGAGGCAAGAGAGAGAGAGAGAGAAAGGGATATATATATATATAGAGAGAGAGAGAGAGAATCGAGAGAGAGAGAGAGAGAAGACATCAGAGGAGGAAGAGGTACCCATACCGTTACCCTGTGCTTCGTTTTCGCCTTGTTAGGCCGCCCGGAAGGCCCTCGTCGCTGCCGCTGGATTCGCCTCGAAATTATGGTCAGACAGTACTCCAGGAGAGGCCGTGTAGTGGCGGCATCGGCATTGTTTTACTCCCCCCGGAGAGTAGAGAGAGAGAGAGAGAAAGAGGGGGCGAACAGGCCAACCATAGGCAGTCCTGCAGTGCGCTTCACAGCCTGGCGTCCCTAGAGGAGGTCGGCGGGTCTGCAAATGCTTCCATGCATGCGAATGTTCGCAGCGGTAGGTAGTCGTGGACTGCGACGCTATGGACCCCAGCAACCACAAGGTCGATGTCATTCACCCCGAGCGTTCTTACAGTGGGGGCGCGCATCAAGAAACCATGTGCTTTTCGTCAGGGTATCCTGGGTTTCTTCGCTCCGCGCGCTGCGAGGTGACTTCCGCAGCCATTGAAGAAGCTGCTGCGAACAGGGTGCCCCCGGTTTCCCCTCAGGCGCACCTCGCGCGCGAGTTTTCAGGGTTGGGTTTCCTGCGAGGGTTTCTTGCGGCCGTGCCCTCACTGTAGTCGCACTCCTCGAGACCGAGTGGATAGAGGAGCCGCCCTTCGCGCCTCGCGGCAGCACGTCTGGGCATGCGGCCCCAGACAGGATGCCGTTGGGGTGAGAGCCCGATGTCTCCTTTCCGAGCCTCCGCGGAGCGGGGCCACGGGCAACATGGTGGGCGTGTCTCAGAGAGGAGCACGATGTCACGATAGTGATGCGTTCAAAGATTTCCCAGGATTTCCTGGGCTCCGAATTGCTCCACACGGGCTGCAGGACCGAGGGTCGCCAGACGCCCCCGAATTCCTGGAACGTGCCCCGAGCCAGTCGCATCACGACAACATTCTCGTCCTACGGTTGAGCATGTGATTAAGAAACCTCTTCCCGAAACGTTGGGTCAACGAGTCTTGGCCAACTTGCCGGACATCAGACCCGATTTCTTGAGCTCCTTCGTCCTCCATCGTTAACAACAGAAGTTTGCATGGGCTTGCTTTGAGCCCAGATCTGTTGAATGAGAAGTTTCTTGATCGCATTCCCGACTGTAGTGCCAGCTATGCCCTACGATATTCGCGACACCAGAGATCTGATTCGCAGGGGCGAGATGCGACACCAGCACCACCAGGGGGGCCCACCTCCCACCTCTAGCGAGGAGGTCCACGACGCCTCCCTGAGCCAGAGGCTGGGGATGTCTCGAGCGACAGGGGGGGGGGCGCACCACCAGGGCGACCCTCCTTGCCTCCTCGCATCTCCTCGCCCTGGTGGTGCTGGTGCCGCCGTTCCCTGCTCCCATCTGATCCCTCGTCGGACGCGCCCCGGTCCTCTCGGGCCGAACGAAAGGGGGGATTGGGAAGGGGGGGGGTTACGAAATCTGCTGCATGCAGCTGGTTTCGGCCCCTCCGCCGGGCCCACTCCTCGATACATGGGCGCCTCCCGGCGCCAGGAGGCGCCAGGAAAACCAGCTACGTGAGTTGATTCTCAGACCCCCCCCCTTTGCTATCCCCCCCTTTCGCCGCGCCCCGGTCCTCGTGCCATGAGGTCCCGCCGGGGCCAGGCCCCGTCGCGCGCCCAGCGCGGCGGCTCGCCCCAGGGCAGGCTGCACCATAGCAGCCAGGTCTGGGGCCTCCCCGCAGGCCCTGGTGATTTCGTGGTCTGGGAGACAGGGTGGGAAGGAGGAGAAGGAGCAGGAGGAGGAGGAGGATGAGGAGGAGGAGGAGGAAGAGGAGGAGGGGAAGGAGGAGGAGGAGGAAGAGGAGGAGGATGAGGAGGAGGAGGAGAGGAGGAGGAGGAGGAGGAGAAGGAGAGGGGAGAAGGAGGAGGAGAGAGGAGGGGAGAGGAGAGGAGGAGGAGGAGGAGGAGGAGGAGGAGGAAGGAGGAGGAGGAGGAGGAGGAGAGGAGGAGGAGGAGGAGGAGGAGGAGGACGGGGAGGGGGAGGGGGAGGGGGAGGAGTAGAAGGAGGAGGAGGAGGAGGAGGAGGAGGAGGAGGAGGAGGAGCAGGGGAGGAGGAGGAGGAGGAGAACGAGCAGGGGACCAGTGCAAAGCCAAGGGTCATCAACGATGTTGGGATGAACCCTCCCTCCAAGTTCCCTCTTCATAGGCCCCTACTCGGTTCATTACCACTGAGGGAACTGCCTCGTTGGAAGACAACCGTCTGAAGACCCTGAAGCATGCTAAAACGTTGTTCTTGGGATTCCATCGCAACGGATCAGCCTGACTGTTGCGTCGTGACGATCCTGAATCGTGCCAGAACGCCATTCCTGGAACTTCAACACCGCGAATCAACGTAATTGTTGCGCCCTCGTAATCCTGAGTCCTATGCAGAACACCATTTCTGGTACGCTGATCATGGCAGGTGCGCGTCGCTAAGGCGAGAGCCACATTTCGAAAAGAAACCGCCCTCCATCCGTGAAGCTCTTGAACTTCTTAAGCAAAAAACTAATGTGCGCGGCGCTAATGCGAGAGCCACATGTTGAAAACGGCCCGCCCTCAATCTGCGAAGCCCTTGCGAATTTTGTTAACGAATGTGCGCGGCGCTGAGGCGATAGCTACATTTTGAAAATCGCCCGTCCCCCATTCGCAAAGCTCTTGCAAACTGTTGAAATGCATGTGCGCGGCGCTGAGGCGAGAGCCACATTTTGAAAACGGCCCGCCCTCCATCTGTCAGGGCGCACCACCGCCCAGGGCCCCCCCCCCCCTGGTTCTCGGCGGCGGTGGCCCTCGTTTCTCCGCTGCGAGGTTGTTGAGAGCAAGAGCCCCCCCCTTGACCCTTCGCGTCGCCACCCTGTCGCCCGCACGTGCCGTGCCGCACGTGCCCTCGGGTGCCTTCGCGCGGGTCATCCGTCGGCCTGCCGTGGGGAGTTCTGGTCCCTGGCGGATCCTGCTGTCGCTCCCCACCCCATCCCCTCCTTCCCTGTGGGCCCCCTCCTCCCTCCGACATCCACGGCAAAGGAACAGCGGAAGGCGTGGGGGAAGACGGTGAGGCCGCGGGGGGGGGGGAAGGGGAGGATGGTCAAAAGGGCAGTGGGCAGAAGACGATCGCGAGCGTGCAAGAGAACGGGTTACAGGCAGGGGGGAGAGAGAGAGAGAAAGAGGCATACATATATTTATACATATAGATATGGAGCGAGGGAGAGATAGAGCGACAGAGTGGGATCGGATACAGTAAATAAGCGTTGGCGTGGGGATCGAACTCCAGATCGCGGAGGCATCGCAAATCTCCCCGCCGGCGGCGGCACATCTGGTGGTGGTGTCGCTTCCCCATCACGCGGGCGGGCAAGCACAGGATACGCGAGGCCATGTTCCGCGTGTGTCCTCTTCGAGGGGGAGCCAGGGAAGAAGAGGCGGACTGAGGAGTCGGGGAACAGAACGAGCGGGCGGGGGAGTTTGTGGAGGGGGGGGGGGATGGGGGAGGGGTGGAAGCCTTCCCCCAAAATTCCAAAGATACCAGGGACCCTGTTACCCACGTGTCCATTTCGAGCGGGAGCGAGGAAGGATACGAACCGAGGGGGAAGGGCAACGAGGGATGAGGCCAGGGAGTCACGTGCAAGGGGGGGAGGGAGGAAGAGGTTTCTGGGCGGGAGCGATACGTTTGCGGAAATGGAAATCGTGAGGTTCCAATCGGAACCCCATTGCATTCCAACCCGACCCCCAGAGGAGACATGTTTGAGGCTTTCAGCCACCAATCGAGATCAACGCTCCCGCATCCCCTGTTGCTGGCATGCTCGTTTCGGTTGCCCCCCGCTCCGTCTGGACCGCTCACCCCCTATCCCTCCTTACCCTTCACTCCGACTTGTATTAGCCCTTCCATTCCCTCATTCAACAAGATCCAGGCCCAACTAAGACCAACATGTGTTGTCTCAATGGCCTGGCTTGAGGCGCAACGAACAAATCTGAGATGCCGTTTCCAGGCCCGGAGCTTGCCCGCTTGCTCCAACGCGAAATGGAGACATGTAGACACGGCGCAGTACGCCCAAAGCAAAGCATAGAGGAGTACAACAGAAGTAAACCTGGCGCGGCCCCAATTTGGGAACGCGGGGGTGAACGGGGGGGTCATCAGTTCAGAGTCGGGTTTCCCGCATTTTTCGTCGGCAGCGAATTCCTGTGAAATCCTCTTGCTCTCCTCCCCATTTCTCCTTCTCCTCTGCTCTTGAAGTCCCCCCAGGGGGCCTTGCTGTGGAAAACCTCTTGGGCCAGCATCCGTAGCCTGTTGGGTCAAGCCACTGCGGCTGGAGCTTGGCTGAGGCTGCTGCCTGGCGAAACAAACGGTGGCCGTGGCATGTTGGCACTGGCATGTTCCTGAGAGCAGCTGGGGTTGTGGCAGCAGCACGCGGCGGAGTCTCTGCAGGAGCTCTCAGGCGTGCCGCGACAGCTGCTTCGGCTCCTCCAGACTCGTCGAAGCTGCCTCCAGCAGGGTCTCCAGGGCCGTCCAAGCCGTGTGGACATGGCCTTGAGATCTCCTCCGGCGTCCCGTGTTTCGAGATCGTGAATATCGCGGGTGCTGGTCTGGGTGCGATTGCCACCCGGGACATCGCATGTGGAGAGTTGGTCGTGGCTGAGACTCCAACCATGATGCTGCAAGCAGGCGAGTTCTCCGTGCAGACAGCTAAATTCAATGCTCAGTTCAACAACCTCTCCAGAGCTCAGAAGCGCGCAGTATTGCGCCTCTCCGACTGTTGGCGTATGGCCGGGAAGCGGAGGAGCTTGGAAGGCATACTTCGCACGAACGGAATGGGGTGCAGCAGCGACTCTGACGACGGCGTCCTTTGCTTGGAGATCAGCCGCTTCAACCACTCTTGCGCCCCGAACTGCGAGCAGAGCTGGGACGGCACGGCACTCCAGGAGCGTGTCCACGCGTGCTCGGCGATCCAGGCGGGCCAGGAGCTGTGCCTGTCGTACATCGACGTGCGTGCACCGAGGGCGGAGAGAGCCCATCGGCTCAGGGAGGGCTACCGCTTCAACTGCCGGTGCGCAGCCTGCAGTGAGACAGCCTGCAGCCGAGCCAGCGACGCCCGGCGGGCCAGCCTCCAGCAGTTGGGGCGTGACCTCCCGATGGTTGGAGCCAGAGACCCTGCGGCTGGCATCAAGGTGGTGTCCGATATGCTCCTGCTCTACGACCAGGAGGGCATCGACCTGCACACGCTCCGCAAGCAGGCGTGCTATTACGCCTTTCAGCTGGCCCTGCACGCGGGGCCCGCAGCGTGGGCGAGCGGCTGGGCGGAGCAGGCGTACCGACACAGCAGGCTGTGTTGCGGCGAGCACCACCCGGAGACCGTTTGGCTGCTCGGCTATGCGCGAGATCCACATAGCCATCCTGCCCTCTGGACCCCCGCCTTTGAGGTCTGCAACCCAGGCAAGCACCGCAGCGCCATGGATCCAGCACTGAAGGTGTACGCCCTCGCTTGGATATCTGCCATCTCGCTGGTCCTGTCCATGGGCATGGTTTCAGAGCGCTCGACGGTTCATGTCCGTGACGCGCGCCTGAAAGCAGACTGAGCGCATACTCTCTTTATGTTGGCCCTGAGATGTGGAGTCGGTCTCGTTGCAGTCCTCCTGGCCCTTCTTCCTACCAGGGAGAACGGCTGGTTTCTCTTTCTTGTCCCATGCCTAGTTGTTCTGAGTGAGTTTTAATATTCTTGCGAGCAGTTGCCTCCTGTTCGGAGGCTGGTGAGGCGCACGTCTCAGCACAGTTTCTAAAGACATTAGTCGGAGCAGGGCGCTAGCGTCCGCGTAATGTTCCTGTTGTTCTGAACTCTGGGATATTATTCTGAATTGCTGCCGTTGGTCTGGAGCCGCATTGTCCAAACGTCGGGACGAAACATAGTACAGGGATAATAATATGTGCAGAACTCCAAGTGATGAGAAGACAGTAGGAGTATAAGCAATGATAAGGTGCAGGACAAGGAGGCGGAGGAGGACGACAGGAAAGACTGAGGTCCTCTCTGGAGCCTCGATGTGCCGTCATGAGGCTGTCCTGCGCCCCCGATCGAAGCCTTCGTTGTGTCCTGGGAGAGAGGGGGGCGGAATTCTGACGGAGCGGAGCTCTCGCGAAATGGCATCTCACGGAACGGAGCTCGTACGCACTGGAATTCGCACGTCGCGGAATTGCACCCAGCGGAGCTCGCACGGAGCGGAATTCGATTCTCACGCGGCGGATCACGCCGGACAAATTTCGGACGACGGAATTTGCAGCACGTCGTAACGCGCATGGACGGAACTCACACGGCTGGCTCTACTCGACGAATTGACGCGTGGCGGTGTGAGCACACGTGCCGCTTCCGTCCGTGCGAGTTCCGCGCGTGGGAGCTCCGCCGCGTGTGAGCTCCCTTCGTGTGAGTCCCGTCCCCGGTGTGCGAGTTCCGTCTCTGAGAGTCCCGTCCGTACGAGTTCCGCTCCGTTGTGAATCCCGCGCATGCGAGTTACGTCCGTGCGGGTTCTCTCGTGGATCGGAACTCGTGCAGGTTCTCTCGCGGGTCGGGGATCGCACGGAAATGGTTCGGCAGCCCCAATTCGCACGGCCAGTCAGAGTTGCAACCAGTCGCAGTACATCCATCGCGGTCAACGAAAGTGTCCTGCCCACGAACACACCAGCTAGAACAACAACCAATTTTAACCAACCGTCTTTAACAAACAGTATGTGTCGACCTCAATGGGTACCACCCCCTTCCCCCCCTGGCGTATTGACTTCCGGCCTCAAGGCGTCACGTTGGAACGCAGGAAACGCACACCTAATCAAGATACCCTACTTGTCATGTGGCAAAGGAGGGGGGCAGCGCAACCATGATTTTCACGTGGCAACGCAGAGGATCGGTCATGCATACTGTTGTATTCTGCTCCGTCATACGAAGACAAGAAGCGAAACACATAGTGCAATAGTTGATTCGTCACACGCCAGTTGAGTGCTGCGGTCACCATGGCGCATGGGGGCGAACAATCATTACTCTATCACGCCTCAAACGGCGCCGAAAGGAGGGCCAACACAAAATATGTGACAACCCGCCAGTGCGGATCACACATAACAGGCGTTGCCACACGTTGCCTCATGAGCTGGACAAATTACACGGGTACACACCTTGGAAAAGGGTATGAATGTATACGGTGACAGCGTCATCTGTATTGTGTAACCAGCATTTGTTGTTGCATCATGTGGTGTACCATCATTGCTTATAGGAGCATACGTGACACCATCATCTGTTTACACCATATCTTTATGCCTTCAAACGTACATGCGATACATCATCATGCACCTCAGAAGCCAGTCATACATCAACGTGCGCTAACTAAGATAGACACTACGTACGCGTGATGGTGTGCAGTTTCGTGTAGCATTGGACATGCGAACACATGCTACAATAACGCGTGGCTCCAGCACGTAGCTTATCATCGCCTACCATATTGTGTTAGCACGTGCTCCCATGACACACGCTGACAATCGCGTGCTACAGCAACACTGCGAGCAGATGCTCCAAGGCGACACCTCCCCCCCCCCCGCTCGAGCACCCCCCTGCTCCGACCGCACGCCAGTGAAAAGCGCGGCCGCCCTCCTCCTCCTCCTCCTCCTCATCCTCCTCCCCCACCTCC